TATTATTCTCAATTATTATCATATTTATCCTACGATCAGTGTCCGACGAATGGGACACTGTTGTATAAAAGAGAGTCCTCGAGACGTCTGAACCATCAGACTCTTTTTCGATCGTCGCGTTTTCGATATATCAGGTGTTGGTCTTCTTCGAGTTAGTGCGCATTATCATATGCGGCACCAAGCAATCTGTCCAATTCGTAATTCGGTGGTATTTCCTCCAATTATTCATATTATATATATAGTAAAGCAAATTAGTATCACTTAGTGTCTGTCCTTCCCCGTCTCAACCAGATCCATTATTCCCACCTGGACGAACACCTTCTACGCTCTTTACTCCCCTATTCCTCCTCCTTCAACATCGGTCTGTACCACTTGCTCGAAACTTTCGATCGTACGTTTGCTTTGTCTCCTGCACTGTTCTTCAGGGGATCGATCGATCGACGATCGCGCGGGAACGGTTTCAGGAAACGACGACATTGGATCCTATGGCTACGATGACGCGATTTGACGATCAATTCGACCGCAATTGGAAAACTGATCACTTCCTAGAGGTAAGTGTATCGAAAAGTGTGCTGCTGCAACGAGAAAAGAGCGCGATTTGAGAGAGAGAGAGAAAAAAAAAAGAACCGAGTGTACAAAAGGAGCTTTCGGCGTTGTTGAGAAATTGAAATATTTCACTTTTGTTAGAGATTTTACGTTTATTTGTTTGATATGTGAAACGTTGATAATCTACTGTCTGTGATCTCGCGGTAAGAACTATGACGATTTCATCGTTGCTCGCCAATCGTCGAGTTCTGCATTATCTAATTACGCGATCGTCGTGTATTAGTTTAATTCCTTGGTGCGTTTTTTTTTTCATCGTTCCATAGGATCCAATGAACAACATTTCAGCTGAACGGTGAGACCGTAGGCCGATTTACTATTTCCGATAAAGATTAGCGAATTCGTTCGATCACTGACGACCTGCACCAAGATGAAACGATTTAGGTTTAAGCTCAAGACCTTTGTAGATAAGTCCTATACTTTTTGTTTGACGTTTCGTCCCGAAGCAGGTCGACCATAAAAGTCGGGAAGATCATACTAAAAAATCGGGACTAGGCCTGTTCGTAATTTTCGGTGCAATAATTTGTGAGAATAACAACTTTTTCGTGAACAATTACATCGAGGATATATCTGAGACGGACCTAGCCCAAAACAACCAAGATTTAGTCTAATTGTTATATTCATCGCCTACCAAGGATTTACGAACTCTAGTACCTATAACTCGTATATTATATGTAAAAAAAAAAAGTCGACTTAGATTTAAAAGCATACCTAATGAACTGCGGAGTGATCGGGAGCACTATTCCGAGACTGAGTTTAGGATCTTCGTTATGGAATTACAGACATGCTGTAAACTGAGTTAAGTATTTCCCACGATCGAGAAAAAATGTCGTAATGCTCGATCGATGGTCAATTTTCATTTCAATTGAGAAGTTTACGTCGAGACAAAATGAATTTGGTTGTTAGCAATTTCGATATTATTTATTTGTTGAATGCGAAATTATCTGTTTTGTTTGGAAAAATTCCAGAGTTTTCATAAATATATATATATATATATATATATATATATATATATATATATATATA